AGTTTTTTTTTCCAACATGTTCATAACATGCTACCAAACGGGCTTCGCGCGCGCACTCCGAAATCCTTCGAACGCCCTTGCGCGCACGCCTGGGTGGTATGGTCCGTGTCAAATAATCCCATGCGAGCCACTCTCGCGCGTCCGTCGCGCGCGCATGTCGAATTCCTTCCAAAACCTTCATCACCGACGCGAAGACGCCGTCTTCGTCGTTGGCGTGATCGGCATCGGCGTCGTCATCGCCACTATCATCATCATCATCGTGTCTACAATTGTCGACACCAACATCGCCACTATCATCGTTATCATGTCTGCAAGTGTCGACATTGCCATGATACCGCGCCCGCCCAAACCACCGACTCGCACTCAAGTGCCCGCTGGGATGTGCCTGGCTGTCAGCACCACCGCGGCCTCGTCGGTCGCGCCAAACTCCCTGGCCGCAGCGCGCGCGAGCATGCGCGGGCTGGCGCGGCCGCAGAGATGCACCAGCCAGCGCCAAGCACCCATCGCAATCGCCGCCGCATGAGGTTTGCAAATCAAGCTGCGGGTGGGTGGGTGGGATTTTTGCGCGAGCAGTGGAGTGAACAGCTCATTGCGAACAGAAGTTTGCTTGTACCACGTAGATTGCATTGCGTAGATTGTTACCTCGGTTGCCGCGCGTGAAATGCACCGCATAGAGCACACCACGTATATTGCACCACATATGTTGCACCGCGTATATAGCATTACGCCAGTTGCCTCACGTATATTGCACCGCGTAGTTTGCACCACATATGCTGCACCGCATAAATGGCACCGCGTATGTGGCCTGACATAGGTTGCATCGCATACGTTGCAACACCTAGATTGCACCGCGCAGACTGCAGGAACCTACTGGTTTGGGTCCACGGTGGCTAACATCTCACTCTTAATTATTTCCGAACCATCTCGTGGTGTTGGGTCCTCGTTTTAAGACGGTCCCCGCGTTCTCCTCCTCCTTCCTTCTTTTTCCTCCTCCTCCTCCTCCTCCTGCTCCTCCTCCTCCTCCTCCCACTCCTCCCGTCCCCCACTTTGGCACACCACTCACACGTTTCGTGGCCCCATAAAGAGCTCCACCGAAGGCCCCACTGTCACTGTCCACTTGGGTCCCCACGCCAATTTCGACACACCCTTCACACGCTTCGTGGCCCCATGCGCAACTCCACCGAAAACCTCGATGCCACCGCTTATGTGTGTCCCCCACATCCATTTCGGCACACCCCTCACGCGTTTCGTGGCCCCACAGGGAGCTCCACCGAAGGCCACATTGCCACCGTCCACATGCGTCCGCCGCGCCCATCTCGGCGCACACCTCACATTTTTTCGTGGCCCATAGGGAGCCCCACCGAAGGCCCCAACGCCGCCGTCCACATGCGTCCCCCGCACCCATGTCGACACCACCCTTCCGCGTTTCGTGGCTCCATAAGGAGCTCCGCCGGAGGCCCCGATGCCACCGCCCACCTGCGTCCGCCGCACCCATTTCGACACTCCCCTCCCGCGTTCCGCGGCCCCATGAAGAACTCCACCGAAGACGCCAGCGCCAGCGTCCACACGCGCCCGCCGCCCTAACGCCGGCACACCCCTCAAACGTTTAGTGGCCCCATAGGGAGCTCCACCGACGTCGCCCATTTCGGCACATCCCTCACACGTTTCGTGGCCCCACAGGGACCTCCACCGAAGGCTACAGTGACACAGTCCACACGCGTCCCCCCATACCCGTTTCGGCGCGCCCCTCGCGCGTTTCGTTGACCCATAAGGAGCTCCACCGAAGGCCCCAGCGTCACCGCCCACATGCGCCCCCCTACATCCATTTCGGCACACCCCTCACACGTTTCGTGGCCCCACAGGGACCTCCACCGAAGGCTACAGTGACACAGTCCACACGCGTCCCCCCATACCCGTTTCGGCGCGCCCCTCGCGCGTTTCGTTGACCCATAAGGAGCTCCACCGAAGGCCCCAGCGTCACCGCCCACATGCGCCCCCCTACATCCATTTCGGCACACCCCTCACACGTTTCGTGGCCCCACAGGGACCTCCACCGAAGGCTACAGTGACACAGTCCACACGCGTCCCCCCATACCCGTTTCGGCGCGCCCCTCGCGCGTTTCGTGGCCCCATAGGGAGCTCCACCGAAGGCCCCAGCGTCACCGCCCACATGCGCCCCCCCACATCCATTTCGGCACACCCCTCTCACGATTCGTGGCCCCATCGGGAGCTCCACCGAAGGCCCCAATGCCATCGTCCTCGTGCGCCCCCCACGTCCATTTTCAGCACACCCCTCACACGTTTCGTGGCCCCATAGGGAGGTCCACCGAAGGCCCCATTGCCACCGTCCATTTGGGTCCCCCACACAGATTTCGGCACACTCCTCACACTATTCGTGGCCCCATGAGGAGCTCCACCGAAGGCCCCAGTGCCACCGCCCGCATGCATCCCCCACGCCAATTTTGGCACCCCTCACACGTTTCGTGGCCCCACAGGGAGCTCCACCGAAGACCCTAATGCCACCGTCCACATGCGTCCGCCGCACCCATATCGGCACACCCCTCAGAAGGTTCGTGGCCCCATAGGAAGCGCACCGCAGAAGAGATTCATAATTGCGGTAACGCACAACTGCGTATGGTTGGACCCTTCGCCAGGCGAATTTGAAATCTGTTAGGGGCCACACCGACATGATGGGAATCTCCAAGCTCGGCGGGCCAATCCTGCCTGAGCTTGAATTTCTTGGAAGAGATGATCTCATACATGAGCCACGCCCAGAGGGCTGCTGGGATAAAGTAGACGTTCACGCGTTCGAAGCCGTGGCTGCTGCTGACCAGCAGAACTGGTTAGTCGCAAACGTGTACATGCTCTTGACCAGCGACACCATGTCTCTTTGATGGTGTCCAGTCGGATGATGCTGTCCGCCGGATATGGCTACGCGCTGTACCGCTCCAGTCCTCTCCCTGCGTTGCCTGGCACGCTGAGGATGCACCAGACAACATGTATGTGTGTAACGGCGCCGCATCTCCCGAGGCGCGGCGTCTTGAGCTAAAAGAATGGCTACGGACCTCCTCCGCCGCCTCCGCCTCCTTCTCTTTGGTGCTCCCCCTCCCCTAACCTTGAAATCTATTAGAGGTGCATTTACCGTACAGAACACTTTAGTGCTGAGATGCCAGACAGCCTCAACACTCTTCCCCCCTCTCTTCTCCTCCTCGCCTCCTCTTTGTCTCCTCCGCCTCCTGGTCTTCCTCTTCTTCACAAACACCGTAATCATCACCATTGTCATCATCACCATCTCCATCACCGCAAGCATCATCACAACCAACACCATCGTCATCATCATTACCATTCTTATTACCACAGCCATTATGATTATTAACACCATCGTCATCACCACCATCCCCATCACCAACATCATTACCGTCAGCGTCACCATCACCACCAGCACCATCATTGTCATTTCTATCATCATCGCCATCACGATCCTGATCCTGATGATGATGATGATGATGATGATCATCATCATCATCATCAACATTATCATCACCATCATCACCACCATTGCCACCATCATCACCATCACCATCATCACCACCATCATCACCACCATCATTATCATCATCACCCTTCTCTTCTCCCCCTCGCCTTCTCGTCCTCCTCTCCCTCCTCCTTCCCCCTTTTGTGCTCCTTCTCCTTTCCCCTTTTTCCTATTCTTCTTTTCCTTGCTCCTTGTCAAGTGCGGAGGCAAACCGTCGACGACTCCTGAACGCCACCCGAAGACACCAGAAGAACTCCTCACACCTCCAGGCGCTTCCGAAAGCATCCGAGGACCCCCCGAGATGAGTTCCGAAGACCCCCCGCAGACCCTCGAAGCCGCCCGAGAGCCCCCCCGCAAAACATCCAGGGCAAACCCATCACGCCTTCGAAGTGCTGCGAAAACATCAGAACGTGCTCTTTTGCGCCTCGAGGCGGACGACTGGAGGGCTCCCCAAAGAGAGTCGGGGCAGAGGGGGCCGGGCCGACCCTCTGCGTCGAGCCCCGGGCACTACAGCGAACCACGACCACAACGAAGTGGATTTTTCGGAAGGGCCCCTCGGGGGAGAATTCACCGCCTCGACACAAGCACTTTGGTTGTGGTTGTGGTCGATTTGTCCGTCCCTCGACGCCACACTGACCACAACCAGCACGAAGCTTGTTCGGTGTTCCGACGATCTTGGGCATGCGCAAGGCATCCTCCAGGGTGTGTCTTCGATGTGGTTGTGGTCGCTTGCTGTCTTTGCATTACAGTCCACCCGCATAGGAAAGGATGGGCAACCTTCCCCAGGCTGCCCTTGCATCCTTGCCTCCTCGGGCCATCCTTGGCCACTTTTGCCGGCCGCGCCCTGCCTGCGAAGTGTCGGCATGGCCTTCCAAGGCCCTTGCATCCCTATCGCGGGCCCTAATGATACGGGTCGACTGTAGCCCCCTCTCCAGCCTCCTGCCGGAAGCCCGTGGTCGGGGCCGCGTTTTCTGAGCCAGACTTTTTCGGAAAGAGTGCCCCCTCCCTCCTCCGCGCCTCGTCCTCGGTTTCCTCCGCCTAGACCTCTGAGGTCCAGAGCCCGTCCGTTCCAGGCCTGCCTTGCTTTCAGGGTGGGGCCCTCTTTGGCCACGGAGGGTGCGCCCTCACTGGTGGCGCAGGTGCGTCTCGAGGGACGACGAAACAAGACAAAGGGGGCTACACGCAGGTTGTCAGCCCAACCCCTCTGCGTTACAGGCGAAAACTGGTAGTAAGGATAAGCAATCTTGCCACATGTACCCTTGCATCCTTGCGCCTTCGGTCCATCCTTCACCACTCGCGATGGCCCGCCGCGTTTGAGAAAGCTTTAACATGGGCGTCCAAGGGGCCGCGAGGCTTGCATCCTTACCGCACATCCTTATTATCAGTGCTGACTGTAACCCCCCTCCGGAGCCCTCCAGGAGGGGGGTGCCGGGAGCAGCTCCTGGGGTCCTGCCAGTGCTCCAAGGTCGGGGCCAGCGCCTTCACTGCGGAGGCCAGCGCCTTCCAGGTCCTACCACGGAAAGGTCCACGTCAGCTCGGGAGGTCCCAGTGGAGTTGGGAGGGTGGATGAGGATCACGTAGTAAAGAGGAAGAGCAGGATGAGGAGGAGGACGAGGAGGAGGAGGAGGCGGAGGATGAGGAGGAGAAGGAGGAGGAGGAGGAGTAGGAGGAGGAGGAGGAGAAGGAGGAAGAGGAGGAGGAGGAGGAGGAGGAGTAGGAGGACGAGGAGAAGGAGGAAGAGGAGGAGGAGGAGGAGGAGGGAGGAGGAGGAGGAGGAGGAGGAGGAGGAGGAGGAGGAGAGAGAAGTGGATGGGGATGTTTTCGGAGGTCTTCGGAGTGGCTTCTCAGCGCCTTGCGAAGGATCTCCGAGATTTGTTGAGGTTTGTGGACCAGGACTAGGACTAGGACTATGTCTTGGACTTGGACTGGGACAGTGGCCTGCCTCCGAAGAGGCAGGTCCAAGAAAACAAAAACAAGAAGAGGGGGCAACCGCGCTTTGCGCGAGCCGCTCACCACGGACGGGCCCCATAATATGGGAGTATAAGTGGCCATAAAGTCGGCTGTCGAGGTTTGGGAGGTTAGCGGAAGGAAGGGAAAATGCAGGAGGAGGAGGCCGAGGCGGCGGATGAGGAGAAGGGTGAGGAGGAGGAGGAGGACGAGGGGGAGGAGGAGGAGGAGGAGGAGGAGGAGGAGGAGGAGGAGGAGGAGGAGGAGGAGGAGGAGGAGGAGGAGGATGAGCAGGATGCTGCTGCTGATGATGATGATGAGGAGGAGGAAACGGAGGACAATGAGGAGGAGGAGAAGAGGTGGAGGAGCGCACGAAGGAGCAGGAGTAGTAGCAGGATGAGGAGGAGGACCAGAGTAACTCCAGGATGGCTGAACGATGCGCGCCCCATGTCCCCTCCGCATTCAGTCCCTACAAGCCTTCTTTACCTTACACGAAGCGTTAGCCTTGAAAGATGACGCCCCACGGACATGCCATTCAGGCGTGAGCCCCGATTTGAAACGAAGCTGCTTTGCATCTTGTTAGCGAATTTGTAGGAAGGACGATGACAAAGCTCAAAGAGGTGTTACGCGAGAGCCACGATTTGAGAAGGAGCCGCCCCCATGCGTCTAACTGGTGTAACAGTATACACTTCTGGATCTCAGGTTTGAGGGAATCTTGAGCGGCAGTGCTATTTTGAAAAGGGCTCGCCCTCCATTCGTGAGACAGTTACATCTGCCCAAGCTTGTCTCCGAATGTGAAGAAGCCTCAAGCGAGAGTTCCATACTTCGGAAAGGAATCGCACTCTACGTTTGAACGTGTTGAAAACATATAGGACGAATGTGCTCGGCGCGAAGGCGAGAACCGCATTTTGAAGACGTAGCGTCCCCCGTCCTTGCAGCCGTTGTAAGCTTTGAAATGGAGTATGCGCGACGCAATTGCGATAATAGCATTGAGGACAAGTGCCGACCTCCATCCTGGTAATTGTTGCAAGTGTGAAACACGAATGTGGCCGGCGGTAAGGAGAAAGCCGCATTTTGAAAGCGACTGACCGTCCGTCTATGCAGCTTTTGCCAGCTTTCAAGACGAATGTGCGTGGCGCTCAGGTAAGAGCCACATTGTGAGAATTGTTGTTGTTTTTCTGGTCTTTAAGGTTATGCTTTGGCGGGAAATCTTCAGGGAAACGCCCAGAGCACGCGATCCGAGGGTGGTAAATTGCTGGTTTGGGCCCCACCCATCGCGCGGATTTCAACAATTTGCAGTAGTAAGCAGAAAGCAGGACTGTAACATTGGAGACTTGAAGCTGCAACTGGTGCGAGGAGCAGCACACTTCGGCCTACAGCCTGGTGGCCCCACAAGGAGGCCAGCGGATTGTTTTCCTCCTCCGCCTCCTCATCCTTGACTGCCTTCTGCGCCTCCTCTTCCTCCTCCTCTTCCTCCTCCTCTTCCTCCTCCTCCTCCTCCTTATTCTCTTCCCATGGCGCTCCAACCTCCTCATTCTCTTCTATTATTTTCCTGATCCTCTCCAGAACCACCTAGAAGCCCCAGAGTCCCTGTAAACCGACCACCCTTCCTCCCTCCTTCCCTCCTCCTTCTTAAGGGGTACTGGCTTTCTTCCTCCCCCTCCTCCTCCTCCTTCCTTCCTCCTCCTCCTCCTCCTCCTCCTCCTCCTACTCATCATCAGCATCATCATCAGCATCATCATCATTTTCCTCTTCCTCCTCCTTCTCCTCCATCTTTGCTGCCCACGCCCCCGCCCGCGCCGCTGCCGCCGTCGTGCTCATCGTCGTCGTCGTCGTCGTCGGCAGGTCGGGGCCAGCCGACGGCGGCCAGCCCGGCCCTGGACGCCCTGCTGCGGCACGACGGGTGCCTGCCCCGCTGGGACCACTACCACCACTTCGACAATTCCTCCTCGGCCGCTTGGCCGCCGCGGGGGGAGGGACAGGAGGAGAAGGTCTCAACAGGAGACAGGAGGAGGATGAAGAGGAGGAGGAGGAGGAGGAGGAGGAGGAGGAGGAGGAGGAGGAGGAGGGAGGAGGGGAGGAGGGAGGAGGGTGGATGATGATGGTGATGATGATGATGCTGATGATGCTGATGATGCTGATGATGATGATGGCACAGATGACGATGATGATGCTGATGCTGATGATGCTGTGGACGATGATGATGCTGACGCTGATGTTGACGATAACAATGCCGATGATGATGTTGATGATCCTGATGATGAGTATGATGATGATGATGATGATGATGATGATGATGTTGATGATGATGATGATGATGCTGATGATGATGATGAGGCTGCTGATGATGCTGATTATGATAATGATGCTGATGCTGAGGATGAGGAGGATGAGGAGGGACGAGGAAGAGGAGGAGGAGAAGGAGGAGGAGGAGGAGGATGCGGAGGAAGAGGAGGATGAGGAGGAGGAGGAATACTAATAATAATAATAATGATAATACTAATACTAATACTAATAATAATAATAATAATAATATTAATAATAATACTAATAATAGTATTCATAATACTAGTACTAATAACACTAATAATAATGATACTAATAATAGTAGTAATAAGAATAAGAAAACAAGAATAAGCATACTAATAGTAAGAACCATCATACTAGTAATAATAATAATAATAATACTAATCAGAAGAATAAGAGGAGGACGAAGAGGCGGCGGTGGATCAGGAAGATGGGGAGAGTAAGGAGGATGAGTAGGAAGGGGAGGAGGAGGACGAGGAGGAGGAGCAGGATGAGAAGGAGGAGGAAGAGGAGGGGTGTGAGGATGAGGATGAATGGTGAGGATGAGGATGATGATGAAGAGGAGGAGGAGGAGGAGGGCTTATGGAGGAAAAGCAAGGTTTTGATTCTTGGCTTACAACAAATTTTCGATGGTTTTTGGCATCTTCGGAGGTCATCGCAGGTGTCTGGAGGTTGCTGATGAGGAATGAGGAGTGAGGCATGCAAGAAGCGTAGGATGAGGAAGATGTGGCCGAGGAGGGTCAGGAGAAAGGATGGAGGGCCAGGGAGGAGGACAAGCAGAGGAGGGCAGGAAAGGAGGGAGGGCAACAGATCGGAGCGGCGCTTGGGCGAGAACACCATTTCGCCCGCTCTCGCGCGTCCCCGCTGCCGCTGCCTCTTTCCCGTGATCGGCGATCGGATAAGAGGCGCCGCGCCGCAGCGGGCACGCCAGTCCAGTGCGAAATGTGCACGGGGTTCTGGCGAGGGGGGAAAGTCGTCCGCTTGCGCGCGGTTCCCGCCCCCAATGACTTCGGGAGTGAAATATTTGCCGCCGCGCCGTGTGCTCTGGCGCGCGGCCTTCCGTCTTGGGGAGAGCGCCGCGGGCACCAGGGCAACCTCCGCCTCGGACGCAGAGTTTGCCGTGGGTTGCCGCGGTGCCGACTGTGTCTACTTGGGCGCGTTCGAAACAAACGGCGCGGCGACGTCTGCGGCGCGCCCGAGCGGGAGCGCCACTAGCGGGTGAAGTCCTGCGCTGTCCTGGAGCGAAGGCGACATCTTGCCCGTGCGTGCGCCCCCTACGGTCGACGAGCTTGCTCGTGACGGACGTGCGCCGCGCCCGAGCGGGAGCTCACGGCGGAGGACGGGGGATGATGTTCCACGATGGCCTGGGATCCTCAGAGGTTTTCGTGGGTGTCTGGAGGTTTCCAGAGGCGGGAGAGGATGAGGGACAATGGATGGAGGGACGATGAGGATAATGATAATGATGAGGAGGAATATGAGGGGGAGGAGGAGTAGGAAGAGGTGGAGGAGGAGGAGGATTCGGAGGAGGAGGAGGACATCGGTGACGATGATGATGTTGATGATGATGATGATGTGATGCTGATGATGATGATGATGATCATGAGGATGATGCTGATACTGATGCTGAAGATGATGAAGATGAGGATGAGGATGGTGTTGATGACGATGATGTGACGATGCCGACGGCAAGGTTGATCATGCTGCTGCTGATGATGATACTGTTGATGGTGACGATGGGGATGACGATGCTGATGATGACGATGATGCTGCTGATGATGATGCTGTCGAGTATGATGAGGACGGTTTTGACGTTGCTGTTGATTACGCCGATGGCGAAGATGCTGTTGATGATGATCTTGACGTTGGTGATGATGATGACGATCATGCTGGTGATGATTCGGATGCTGGTAATGATGATACGGATGAGTGTGATGATGATAATGTTGATGATGCTGCTGCTGGCGGTGTCGATGATCAGTGTGATGATGATGCGGCTTACGACGATGATCACGATGTCGATGCTGATGCTGATGATGATGATGATGCTGATGATGATGATGATGCTGATTACGACGATGCTGATGCTGATGATGCTGATGATGCTGCTGATGATGATTACGATGATGCTGCGGCTGATGATGCTGATGATGCTGATGATGATGATGATGATGATGGTGATGATGAGGATGCGGATGTTGATGCTGATGCTGGTTCCGATGCTGATGGTGGTGACGATAATGATGATGCTGATGCTGCTGCTGATGATGGTGACACTGCGGCTGCTGCTGCTGCTACTGCTTCTGCTGAGGATGCTGCCGCTGATGAATATGATCATGCTGCTGCTGCTGATGATGATGACGATGACGATGATGCTGATGCTGATGCTGATGCTGACGATGCTGCTGATGCTAATGATATTGATGACGATGCCGATGTTGTTGATGATGATGATTGCGTCGCTGATGTTGATGATTATGTTGATGATGCGGATGCTGATGGTGATGCTGACGGCGATGATGATGCTGAGACTGATGTTCATTATTATGATGATGCTGTTGCTGATGTTGATGTTGTTGAGGAGTCTGCTGATTATAACGAAGATGCTGATGCTGATCCTGTTTTTGATGATGATGATGCTGATGATGATGATGATGATGACGACGACAAGGCTGCTGCCGATGCTGCAGATGATGCTGCTGATGCTGATGACGGTGATGATGCTGCTGATGTTGATGATGATGCTGATGCTGCTGCTGATGATGATGATGATGCTGATGATGATGCTAATGATGATGCTGATGACGTTGATGATGATGCTGATGCTGATGATGATACTGATGCTGCGGATGCTGCTTGTTCTGCTGCTGCTGATGATGCTGACGATGATGATGATGATGATGATGATGATGATGATGATGATGATGATGATGATGATGATGATGAGGATGCTGATGACGATTATGATGATGAGTGCGATGAAGACGACGATTTCAATTATGATGCTGCTGCTGATGATGATGCTGATGCTGATGCTGACGATGGTAGGATGATGCTCTTGCTGATGGTGATGATGGTAATGCTGATCACCATGATGCTGATGATAAGAATGATGATGACGAGGGGGACATGGAGGAGGAGCACGACGAGGAGGAGGATGAGGAGGAGGAGGAGGAGGAGGAGGAAGCGGAGGAAGAGGAGGAAGAGGAGGAAGAGAATGAGGAGGTTCCATGATTTTCTGATTGTTCTGAGGTCTTTGCAGGCGTGTGGAGGCTTCCAGCTATGGAGGAGGACGAGGAAGGGACGGAGGGTGGAGGAGGAGGTGGAGGAGGACGAGTAGGAGGAGGACGTCGGTGACGATGACCGTGACGACGACGATAAGGAATATTCGCATTGTTATGATGTTGCTGCTGGCGGTGATGGTCGTGGTGCTGCTGCCGGATTGACGGATGGATGGATGGATGGACGAGGATCAGGATTATGATGCTGCAGATGATGATGCTGATGCTTATGCTGCTGATGATGATGATGATGCTGATGCTGATGCTGATGCGGATGCTGATGACGACGATGATGATGACGATGATGCTGATTATTATGATGATGATTATCATGGTTGTGACGATGATGCTGATGCTGCTGGTGGTGGTGGTGGTGCTACTGATGATGATGACGACGATTATAATGATGATGCTGCTGCTGCTGATGTTTATGATGATGATGAGGAGGAGGATGGGAGTATGCTGATTATGACGAGGAGGAGGAGGGGCAGGAGGAGGAGGAGGAGGAGTAGGAGGAGGAGGAGGAGGAGGAGGAGGAGGGGAAGACTAAGGACGCGAGAGGATGAGACAAGCCTCTGGCGCGACCTCTTTGGGGGTCGCTGGAGGTGTGAGTGCAGTGGCCAAGCGGCCACGGGACCATTTTGCAGTCCGTTCCCTCGGGGGGCCGTACGACGCGCCGCTCGGGAGCGTGGGCCCCGCGATGCTGCTCGAGGCGAAGAGGCGGCTGCTCAGGCTGGACGGCGTGTTGATCCTGGAGGAGATGGGAAGCGAGCACGTGCCCCTGCCCCCTCCCTCCTCCGTCCTCGGTTTCCTCGTTTTCGTCATCTCTCCTCCCTGCTGAAGGAGGAGGGGGAAGAGGGGCTCCTCTTCCTCCCCCTGCCTGCCGCAGCGCCACGAGCCGATTCCAGCCCGCGGCTCGCGCGGAGCAGCGCACCAGGGGGAGCGGGCGGCTGCCCGGCGCGACGTGGGTCCTACAGGTGGCCACAAGTAGACCGCTTCCAATTTCAGAGGAAAGGCAGAGCGAAAGTGGCCGCCTAACCTTCCTGCACCCCGAGGTTCCAGGAGGTAGGGGATTGTAGGGCAGAGTGAGGTACCAAGCCGGCGAAAAAGGTGTCGTGCACCCTGTTCATGTTGTGCACCCTGTTGACCAGCTTGGCTGTCGGTCCTCTGAGCTCTGCTCGCGCTCGTCCAGCGCTGCGCCACGCGCGGCCCCGGCGGGAGCGTGCGTAACTTCGCTGCGATCGCCTCCAGTTGCCTCTTCCTCTTCCTCCTCCTCCTCCTCCTCTTCCGTGTCCTCGCGGTCGTCGTGCTCGTCGTTATCGACGTCGGTGTGCGCCGAACGTGCCCTACTAGTCGAGGGCGTCACTCGTCTGTCGCCGAGCGTGTAGCGGTGGTCTGTGGTCTTCGCCTCGATGCATCGCTTGAGCTCCATGCGCGTGGGATCCATGTTGCTGGGGTCCGCCTGCTGAGCGATGCACTTCTCGATGTCGTCGAGGGGCCCGCCAAACTTGGACAAACGTCAGGGGACCTCGGCGCGCACGCAGAGCGCTCTGCCGCTGTCCCCGTAGATGTTGAGCGCCTCGGAGCAGTCAGCTTCCACCTCGAGCCAGTTTGTGGTTCCGGTCAAGATGTAGCTGCACCCATGCACGATCCTCCAGTAATCTGCGCAGTATGTCGGATGGGCTGGACCCAGCTCGATCTCGCGCAAGTCCACCACGTAGCTGCCTCCTTCATGTCGTCTTCGGTCTCGGATACCTTCTCTGTCCTGCTTCTGGACGTTCTTGACGACCTCCTTTGCAATTTCCAGGGGTCGGGCGTTGGTAACTCAACGCCTTCTCCATCTCGTGGGTGCTCATCTCCGTCTCGCGCGTGCTCACCAGCGCCGCGTAGGTGCCCACCTCCGCCTCGCACGTGTTCACCTCCGCCCCGTGCGTGCTCACCAACGCCTTGTAGGTTCTTACCTCCGCCTCGCACGTGCTCATCTCCGTTTCGTATGTGCACACGGCCGCCGCGGAGGTACCCGCCTCCGCCTCGTAGGTAGTCTCCGCCGCCTCGTTGGCGCTGACCCTCTCCTCGCAGGTAAGGACCTCCGCCTTGTGAGCGCTCACCTCCGTCTCGTTCGTGCGCACCTCCGCCCAGTAGGTGCTCTCCTCCGCCTCGTCAATGCTCACCTCCGCCTCGTGGGTGCTCTGCTCCGCCTCGTAGGTGCTCACCTCCGTTTCGTAGGTGCTCTCCGCCTCCTGGTAGGTACTCGCCTCCGTCTCGTAGGTGCTCACCTCCGTCTCGCACATGCTCGCCTCCGCCTATGTGGTCACCTCCGTCTCGCACGTGCTCATCTCCGTCTCGTACGTGGCCACCTCCGCCTCGTGGGTCCTCTTCTCCGCCTTGTAGTTTTTCACCTCCGTCTCGTGAGTGCTCACCTCGGCCTCACGGGTGCTCACCTCCGTCTCGTAGACGCTCTCCACCGCTTCGTATGTGCACCCCCCCGCCTTGTCAATGCTCTCCTACGTCTCGTACGAGCTCGCCTGCACGTTATTCGTGCTGAAGTCCGCCTCGTAGGTGCTCACCTTCGTCGTGTAGGTGCACGTCGGGAGGAGGATCGGCAAATCCAGGTTCGGGAAGAGGGTCGGTCGATCCAGGTCCAGCATCTGGCATCCTCAGGCGGCGTTCGATGGTACGTCGCCTCGCGATGAAGGCCTCGCGCGCCCGCTTGGCCATCTCGAGGGCGTCACCTCCCGCGTCTTAGTAGGTGCTCCTCTGTAGGTTCTGCACCTTCTCGGTGGTCACCGCCTGCGTCGCTCTGCTCTTCCTCGTGGTCCTGCTCCTCCTCGAGGCCGTCATAACCCTTCTCGTCCTCGCTTTCGCGGCAGTCGTAGCTCCGCTCCTCCTCGTGGTTGCTGTGGCCCTGCTCCCTCTCCTCCTCGAGGTTGTCGTCCACCCAATTGCTGGGCGCCGAGTCTGAGGGAGGGGGGACCAGCCGAAGCCAGTCCCGCCCTTCCTCGCCTGGGATGTAGAGGCCCTGGAGGCGGCTGTGGCTGTTGTAGTCGGCGTGCGTCTGCTCCTCTGTAGCACCTTCTCGTCAGCTCCTCCTCGAGGCCGTCTCCTTCTCGTCCTCCTCCTCGTAGCTCCGCTCCTCCTCCTCTGCTCCCTCTCCTCCTCCGTCCTCCTCCAGTCCCGCCCTTCCTCCCCCTGGATAGTCGTAGTCCTCCTCCTCTTCCTCCTCCTCATCCTCCTCCTCTTCCTCCTCCTCTTCCCCCTCCTCGTCCTCCTCCTCCTCCTCCTCCTCCTCCTCCTCCTCCTCCTCCTCCTCCTCCTCCTCCTCCTCCTCCTCCTCCTCCTCCTCCTCCTCCTCCTCCTCCTCCTCCTCCTCCTCCTCCTCCTCCTCCTCCTCCTCCTCCTCCTCCTCCCCCCTCCCTGAGGAGATGGGACGCGACTTCGTGCAGCTGGAGTGGCTGTTGGGCTGGAAACGCAGCGTCTACGAGGCGGCGAAGGTCGCGGGGGGCGTAGCGCACCGTCAGCGCTGGACTCCGGAGGAGGCAGAGCAGCTGCGCGAGCTCAACCGGTGGGACTACGAGCTTTTCGAGTTCGGCCAGCGTGTCGCGCTCAATCTCACGCGGAGGGCCGTGGAAGCCACGAAAAATCACATCTCCCCTCCCCGCTGCTGCTGCGGCTCCTCCTTCTCCTTCTCCCCCGCCCCGCAGACCCGCCCTGGAACCCCCTGAAGTCTGCTGTCAGTCCGTAACCATTCCCCCCCTCAACCTCTTCTCTCGTTATCCTCCTCCTGATCCGTCTGTTACCCTAAACAACAAATCGTCGTCGTCGCACCATCAGACGTGATGTCGCACCACCAGACGTCATGACAGGACAGGCCTGCCGTTTCGCTAATTTCTTCCTTATGGTGCGTGTTCTCACAGAAAGCAACAATCCATCAATTACACGCACAGGGCGGAAGGATTCCTAATGCGGCTCCCGCATGCAATTTGTTTGCAAGAGCTTCCGGCAGCTACACGGATGGAGGGCGGCTCCTTTTCAAGATGTGGGTCTTTCGGGTATAGCCAGTCCCCCAGGCAAGGGGATCCGGTTAGTGATAGGGCCTCGGAGCCCCTAAATTGGCCAGAATCACTAAACTAGGTCTGCCGTAGCTCGTGTTTTTTTCGGGTGACGGCAGTTCCGGTTAGTGGAACGGGGTGGAGGGGCGTCCCCCAGTACACATCACTAAACCAGGTCCCACTCAACCCAGTTCTGCCAACGCTCGAGTCTCGCTTTGACGAAGGGCGCGCGTTCATGAGAAAAAGGCTCCATCATTGCCCGGATTCAGGACGGTTCAGTTAAAATTTGGCCCTCCCCTTACCGCTGGGCACATGCGTCTTGAAAGCTCAGCAGCAACGCGGATGTCGCTAGAACGAGCCAATCGTTTGATACGTCGTCAAACTTTGCGACCATAAACTGAACATTTTACAGTAGCTACACAGGTGGAAGTATGTTCCGCTGCAAAATGGGTTTCTTGCTTGAAACATTCGCAAGTTTACAGCCAGAAGTGGTGTCTCATGCCACTTTTACACGCGTGGAGGTGAGAGACTCCGAGTGCGCAGTGTGATAATCTGAGTGTATGCGAGTCTGTTTCTTCCATTGGGTTGCGTCAAGATGAGTCTGACTATTGGAGCTTGTGATGAGTATGAGTGAGTCTGTGCATACTTGAGCATGGGTCTGATTTTGGGTGAGTTTGAGCATACATGGTTCTGAGCATGGGCAGGTATGAGGACGAGTGTGTCTCATTATGAGTCATCAGACTGGGAGTGCCTGAGTGTGAACGCATCTGAGTATGAGTGGCTAGGTCTGTATGGCTGGGGGTGGGTTGAGTCTGTGCGTAAGTGTGTGTGAGTGTGGGAGGGAGAAGTCGGTAAGGAATGGGAGTGGAGGCGTAATGCAAACGAAGTAAGCCCTATGCCTATGCTATGGGAAGTAGAAAATAAGGAACAACTCATGCATGACCAACAAGACGCATAGACGAATAGTAGTGTATCGCTGGGAGCATCCCTCCATTCTCCACTTTGAGACCCCCCCCTGGCCAGTCTCATCCTTATCCTGGCTGTCCTCATCCTCGCCATCGTCGGCGGCAACCTCCACCTTGATTCCACTGTCTCGAAGGCCTCTCGGAGTCTCTTGGGGTCTCTGGAGTTCTCTGGAGGTCTCCAGAGGTCCCCTGGAGCTCCAGAGGTCACCGGGGGCCTCTACAGGGCCCCCGGAGGCCTGAGAAAAAAACCCAAGCGCCCAAATACTTTCTTCAGCACTCCACTCTGTTGTCACGAAGACCTCTCCAAGTCTGTTCTCGACCTTCTGCAACACGGCTCCGATGGAGTCGACCTCGCGACTGGGCGCACGAGCGGTCTGTCGCGCTTGGTGGGTGCGGCGCGCCGCACGCTTGCCGCGGGATCTGCCTTCACTAAATATGTATCCTGGCTGCCTTCAGCTCGGAGTCGGGGGGAGGGGGAGAAGAGAGGGAGGGAGCAGGGGAGGGAGGGCGGGAGGGCGGGAGGGAGGGGTGACTGGAGGTTCTAGGCCGCGTATGGAGTATGGCGCGTGGATTAGCGACTGGTCCCGTTTCCGCACAGGATTGGCGCGCTCCGTCGTCAAATCAGGCGGCGCTGGCTTCTTGTTGCGGATCCGGAGTCCATGTTAGCGTGCACCCTAGAGGAGGCGGTGCGGCGTTGACAGCAGGTCTGTCAGAGCAGCCCTGGTGCAGGTCCCACCCCCCCACCCCCATGCTCTCCCGGGCTAGCCTGAGGGCGGCGGGTGCATGTGCCCCCGGGTGCGCAGGCATCCTGCCCTCCCCCCTCCTCTCCCAGGCTTGCACGAGGGTGGGGGGTTCTTCTGCCCTCAGATGCGCAGGCATCCTGCCCGTGGCGCCCATGGCCGCTGCCCTGCGACGACGCAGCGGAGCTGCGGGGCCGTCGGGGCTCCGGCCGCTTGACCGACGAGCCGTGCGTCGGATAGCAGGCCGAGCCAGGAGCCTCGGACCAGTATCGCTTTACCGATCCCCACCATCCCACCGCCACAGTTGGGGATATGCCCCTCGGTACTCGATGTGAAGAGCCTCCCCAGCCGAGCGCTGGGGAACAGCCTGCTGAGCGCCTTCCATGCCCTCCACCGCCACAAGCCTCCGTTCTTCTCCCACCTCTTCCTCTTCCTCGGCATGGGCGTTCCCAGATCTGCCGCTTCTCCCCCTGCTGATCCGCGGCACGAACAGCCTACATCTCCATCCAGGGGGGCAAGTCGGCCAGTGGGGCCCAGGCCACGCCAGTGGGGATAGGAATCGGTTAAACGATGCTCCTGGCAGGCCGAGCGGGGAGCCTCGGGACCCTTCCAGATGTGCTCCATGGAGCGGGGCGGTGGGAACACCGCGGACGCTGTGGCCAGCAGGGCCTCTCCACGAAGGTGGGCGTGAGCGGTCCGTCCCCCCCCCTCGGGGGGCCCTTCCCCCCCTCGGGGGGGGGAGGAGGGAGGCATGAGAACAGCGGGGTGGGGGGGGGGGGGAAGATGGAGGCAGGGAGGCAGTGTGGGAGGGAGGGAGGCAGGGAGGCAGGGAGGCAAGGAGGCAGGGAGGCAGTGAGGCAGGAAGGGAGGGAGGGAGGGAGGAGGGGGAGGAGGATGATGATGATGATGACGAGGATGAGGAGGAGGAGGACGAAGAGGAGGAGAAGGATAAGGATGATGGAGAGGAAGAAGGACATGAGGTTCCCTCCTCATCATCATCATCATCATCATCATCATCACCATCATCATCATCATCACTATCATCGCTACCATCACCATCACTATCACCATCACCATCACCATCATTATCATCATCATTACCATCATCGTCAGCATTATCTTTTTCATCATCATCATAATTATCATAATCATTATCATTATCAGCATCACCACCATCATCATCATCATCACCATCAACATCACAATCACCATCAACACCACCACCATCATCATTGTCAGCATCATCATCATCAGCATCATCATCATCATAACCATCATCAGCATCAGCATCATCATCAACATCATCACCATCATGACCATCGTCATCGTCATCGTCATCATCATCACGTCATCGTCATCGTCATCATCATCACCCAAAGGGAGGGAGGGAGGAGGGGGAGGAGGAGGATTATGATGATGACGAGGATGAGGAGGAGGACGAAGAGGAGGAGAAGGAGAAGGAGGATGGAGAGGAAGAAGGACATGAGGTTCCCTCCTCCTCATCATCATCATCACCACCATCATCATCATCATCATCATCATCATCACTATCATCGCTACCATCACCATCACTATCACCAACACCATCACCATCATTATCATCATCATTACCATCATCGTCAGCATTATCTTTTTCATCATCATCATAATTATCAGAATCATCATCATTATCAGCATCACCACCATCATCATCATCATCATCATCACCATCAACATCACAATCACCATCAACACCACCACCATCATCATTGTCAGCATCATCATCGTCATAACCATCATCAGCATCAGCATCATCATCAACATCATCACCATCATGACCATCGTCATCGTCATCGTCATCATCATCACGTCATCGTTATCGTCATCATCATCACCCCAAACCATCATCACCATCACCACCATCATCATCACCTCCATCATAATCATAAATCCCCGTCATCATCATCATCACCACCACCATCACCATCACCACCATCATCAGCACCATACCATTACCATCACCACCACCATCATCATCACCGTCATCAATATTATCACCATCAGCATCAGCATCTACATCAGCATCATCATCACCATCATGATGATGATGAGCATCATCAGTATCACCATCATCGTTATCTTGATTATCATTGTTATTATCATCATTATTATTAGTGTTGTTAATATTGTTACCACTACTATCATTATCAGCATCATCATCACCATTAGCATCACCACCATCATCATCATCACCATTATCATCATGGCGAAGGCCATGAGGAGGGTCACGAAGGCGCCAGATTGAAACAGCAGAACCGCCTGCAGCTCGGGACTATGGTCTGACTACTGACTGCTTCAAGCCCTTGTTGCGCCTCTCTGACCAAGGCGGACAAGGGCGGTGGATAAGGACAAGGACGGCGGAGGACAAGGACGGTGGTGGTGATGGTGCTGGTGGTGATGATGATGATGATGATGATGATGATGATGATGATGCAGATGCTGATGATGCTGCTGCTGCTGATGATGATGATGCTGATGATGATGATGATGATGATGATATCGATGATCATGGTGATGATACGGATGATGGTAATGATGATTATGATGCTGATGATGATGAGGATGATGATGGTGATGACGCTGATGATGATGATGAGGATGATGATGATGATGATGATGATGATGCTGATGATGATGATGGTGATGATGATGATGCTGATGATTGTCATGATGATGCTGCTGCTGATGATGATGCGGATGACGAGGATGATGATGATGCTGATGATGATGATGCTGATGATGATGCTGCTGATGATGCTGATGCTGATGCTGATGATGCTGATGATGGGATGAGGAGGAGGAAGAGGAGGAGGAGGAGGAGGAGGGAGGAGGAGGAGGGAGGAGGAGAGGAGAGGAGGAGGAGGAGGAGGAGGAGGAGGGAGGAGAGAGGATGAGAGAGGGAAGGAGGTAGGGGGGGAGGGAGGGAGGCAGGGGGAGGTGAGGGGAGGGGAGGGAGTGGAGGGAGGAAGCGGAGGAG